GACAGAGCGGAGTTTAGGGCTGTTGTACATAGGGTCGCTATGAGTAGCAAGCGACTCGACGGCACATAACAACAACAACCACCAACCACCACCTCTGGGGTTGCAGTGCAGCTTCCTGCCAGTAGGGCACCTGAGCTCTTAAAATAAAAAAAAAAAGAAGAAGAACAGGCTCTCAGCAGCCGACCTGTCAGAAGCCCAGGCCACGCTCTTCTTCTGAGGTTTCTCCGGGTAGATGCGAACCTGCAGCCTTTCCACTGGCAGCCAAGCACACCAAAGATGGAGCCAATCAAAAAGAAAAGATCTGATTCCGACCTATGATGGTCCACTTGTGGGAAGAGCAGAACTGCTCCATGGGGTCGTCCTGGTTGACCCCTAGACCTTCACATGACCTCTGGGGGTGTAGGAACCCCCACAGCAGCTGACCACAGACCTCTCGTGCCACCAGGACAGCTGAACTCTAAGCCGGCTATCACTGGCCTCCTACCTCTGACCAGAGATACACTGACTTGTGGAGAAGTCTCATTATAACCACACCTTGTTTTATTACACTTGGCTTTAATGCACTTTGCAGAGAGTAGAGTTGGTTACAAACCACAGGTTTGCAGCCAGACACTCAGCAGGTCTACTCGGTGCCATTTTTCAAGACCACGTGCTTGTGCAGCACTCTGTCCACCTTGGTCACGCTCAGGCTATCTGCAGCCTTCCGACTGAGCAGCTAACAGGCTGTACTCCCAAACCCAGCGCACTGCCAACTTCAGCTCACAGGGTCTCCATCAGATTATCAGGACCATCCTTGTATCTTTGCGGAAGGAGGCTGCCCATCATTCTCCCACAGAACGGTTGTGGATTTTCACTGTCCATCTTTTAGTTTGTGGCCAGCCATGGAATGCACCTGGGCTCTTGAACAGACAACGGTATGGTGCAAACAAAACGTCACATGCACTGGGAAAGAAACAATTCACGTTGCTTGTTTTTTTTTGTGATATTTGCTTCCTTGCGGTGGTCTGGCATCAAACGCAAAATATCTCTGAGGGAGGGTTGTCTGTACTCTGGCCAGGCTGCTCAGGCCACCCCAGGAAGCAGAAGATGGGTGCACCCTGCATTGGTCTTTGATCTCGAGGCCAGGTTGACATCAGCCAGGAGTGGCCTGTAGCAACCCTGGTGGAAGAAGATCAGGCAACATGCAGACTTCAGCAGGGACAAGGGGGCACAGAGACCCTGCTGCACCCCACCCTGAAGCAGCATCTCTGAGCCCAGGTACCCAGTGTCCTGCACGGGAGTCCACGCTGGCTGTGGGGAGAGTCCCACCAGCCCTTCCCTAATCAAATAATGCCAGCCGGGCTTTCGCTTCCTGGTTTCCTGCTCTGCTTTCCTTTGATTATTTGAATGTTTTTTACCATGTACGTGTCTTATTTTCATAATTTAAAAAAGGGGGGGGAAGTATCACAAAGCTCTTTTTCTTTGAAAGCCAAATCCAAAGGCTGCTTCTAACTGGCCTGGGAGCCTGGGCATTATCTCTGATGGGACCAAAGTCTGCCTGGCTGTGTTCCTGTCCTTTCAGGGTGGGGAACCATGGGTCTTCAGGGCTGCAGTGGGACCCCATTTCCCTTGGGCCCTGTGCCCAGGAGCGGCCACACCCAAGGCAGGGCTGGCCATGGACTTTGGCCCAGCTACAGAACACCTGGGGCCAGCTCTGGGTAGGTGCTGCCTCCCAGTCCGAGATTAGGATCTTTATTGCAAATTCACTGCTCCTCGAAGCTTCGCCTGAGCAAGCAGCCACCTGGGTGGGGCTGGGGATCCTGGCTCAGGCAGCCACAGGAGTCACTGCTCCCAGACTGGGGCCCTGTGCAAGCCTGTGCCTCTGAGACCCACTCTGCTGTCTCTTCTCTGGGCCACGTTTCTCTGGGACAGCATGGGGACCGGGGAAATGATGGACAGTCCATCCTGGGGAAAGGCCAAGATGAGGGTCTTATCACCACAGCACCCTCTCTGAGCCCTTGGTAATAGAAATGGTTATTGCATGTGCCACTAGGAGAAGGGTAAATGAAGGTCAAGTCCAGCCACAGGCAGGTGGGAAGACTGTACTCCTGAAGGCATGCAGTGAAGCATCCGCACAGCACGCATGGTACCCACGAATCAGAAATAGCTTAATGGCATCCAGGGATGGCCGAAACTCTTCTCCATGACCTCGTTTGCTGCCTACAGCTCCACAGGGAAGCACTGTCCCTGGGGGCGTGGAGCTCACCTGCACATCTCCTGCTGGTGAGGTCACCAGGGTCACAGAGTTAATGAGCAGGGTGCTGGGGTTCTCCAGAAAAATGGCACCAAAGCCAGGCTCTAGACTCCTGTCTCCTGAGGATGAAGCCTGGGGAGGGGTCCCCACCTGGTCAGCCAGGCTCATGGGCGCATTCAGGTGGCTGCCCAACAGGAAGTGGATGTGCCCCAAGCCCAGATGCACAGACGAGGGGAGGTCAGGTAGAAAGGACTTCAGGCAACGAGGAAGATGCAGTGAGTGGACACTCTGGGTTACTTAGTTCAAAACTGAGAGGAATAGGGAGGTGTGCTGGATGCAGACCTCTGGAGACCAGCCTCTGACAACTTGTGTTGCTGGCCCTGGCTTTAGATAAGATGGTTTGCCTCACCTCCAAGTTATCCAGTCCTTCCTGGCCCCTCCTTCCTGGAAGCCTCCCAGATTGGCACCAGGCCCCTGAACTTCTCTCTTTAGAAAAAGTCCCTTCCCTGTGTCCTGGACTGCCAGGGCCCACGCTGGGCACCGTCCCATGCAAGATCTCACTTCATCACCCACTCGGCCAGCTGGAGATGAGAGCGCCCATTCTGCAGACAGGGACACTGAGGCTGCAGCCCGGGCTGTCCAGACCCATCAAGGGGGATCTGAGGGAGAGTCACACGGCTGCTCTGTGGACCCTGAGCTCTGTGGGAGCCGGGACTCTCCCAGCCCTCTACATGGGGACTGGGACAATGAGTCGTGTGAGAAGCTGGGGACAGAGCAGGGAAGGGAAGAAAATGTGGGCAGAACTGTCAAGTTCCCACCTGGGCCGCATCCCGGAAAGTTCACGGGTTTAGAGGTAGTTAACATTGTCACCACAACACCCTACAGAGCTCAACTCAACCCCAACCCATGGGCTCACCTCTTTGGACAAAGGTCACATACTCGGACTCGTTGCCATGGACACGATGCCCATGGAGGAGAGCATTAAGCTGGGAGAAACAGACTTGTTGGAAATGAGGAAGCCCCTCTGTGAGACGGAGCAGCCCATGCCTATGAGGGTGGCACAGGATCGGGTGCTTCCTTTCGTTGTACCCGGGGTTGCTACCAGTCGGAGTAGACTTGATGGCACCTAACAGCAATGTGATTCGCCTCAGAGGGAGCCTGATGGTAAGAAGCCGAGCTGCAATCCCAAAGGCACACGGTTCCGGTTCCAATCCACCAGCTGCTCCATGGGAGAAGGGTGGGCACTCTCCTGCTGTGTGATTAACTCCCTCTGAAAACCTGCTGGAGGGTCAGCTAGGAGTTGGTTCTGACTCAATGGCTCACCACATTCTAGGGCACTCTGGGGGCCTGGTAGGGAGCTGTGCTGCTAACCTAAACTCCAGCAGTTCAAATCCACCAGCAGCTGTGTGGAAGGAAGAAGCGCAATCTCCTCTGTGGGATTTACAGCTGCTAAAAACCTCCTGGAGGATCAGCTGTGAGTCAAGCTTCAGTTGGACAAAAATGAGAACGAGCCACAGTAGAAAAGCCAGAAGAACCGCACACCTCCCCCAGGCCTTCTGGCCCGGGAACCCAAGCTTGTTCTGGTCACCACAGCCCTGAACACGCTCCATCGGCGTCTGCAAGCATGAGACACACCAGGCTGAGCTTCTCCATATTTTGGGGTGTGACCCGAAAGCATCAAAGCAAAAATTACGAAGAGAAAAAACTAATGAAGCCACATTTTAAAGCTGATACTAAAGCCACTGTGACAATAAAGACAAACCCTCAATGAGGGAAACATTTGCACCGTCTGGACAGACTGACAAAGGTTTCAAAGCGTCCAGAACGTCCAAGACAATTAACAAGTAAGCAATCAGTACAAAAGCCAAAATGAGCCAAGTGAAGTGTGAAAACCCAGGCTTCAAACACATGCAGATTAACCCCACAGAGGAGGAGTAACTGTTTTGACAATGCGATTGGCAAAGATTGGACGGTTTATTAATGCCAGCAGCTGGAGAGGGTGTGGGAAGAAAGCGAAGTGGTGCTGGGGAGCAGGTTGATCTTTGTGGAATAAAGGCGGGGGTCCTGAACCCAGTGAAAACTCCTGACAGATCCCTAGAAAGAACCTGCCTGGCAGGACACAGCGGGACGGTGAACTAGCAGAATGGGGCCCCTGGAGACCCAAAGCGCCTTAAGCGACATTTAACATCAGAGAGGCGCTCGCTTGAGGTGAACTGGACTCTGGAAAAGCACCTGTGGCCACCAGGCCTTCCTTCTCCGAGCGCACTGCGAAGGGAACTCTCGAGAGTGCACTTGCATCCTTGTGGCCCGGCCTGGCCAGCGGAGAGGATCAGGAGGTCTGCACGGTCTGCACTCAGCAGGCGCCCGGGGGCTGCAGCGGAGGCGCAGTGCCCGGTGTCTTCGTGTGGGCAGGGTCGTGTCCTGCTACCAACACGTACCCCATTGACTTCCTCTGCACCACAGTCCCACCCCACCCCCCAGGGGCTCTCTGCCAGATAGGAGACACCATGGGCGTGTGGTGGGTTTGGGAGAACCCTGAGTTTGGGGAGTGGGCGCGGCGCAAACCCTCTGCATCAGGAAGTATGGTGCCCACCGATGGCTCTGGCCAAGCTCATCCAGCACAGTGACCAGAGAGGGAGCATCTTAACTCTCATCCAACTCTGAGCGCCGGGTTCGGGCTCACTCACCCGGCTCCCCATCCCGCGCTCTCCACACATCGCAGGGTCCCTGTCTGGCCCACGCCCACCCATCTTGCGCCCAAGCTCACCCAGCATCTCCTTGCGCCGCTGTGTGTGTGGCTGGTCAGTGTAGACCCACTCGAAGTCGCTGCGGCCGGCGCTGTTCCCCATGGCTGGGGCGGCGGCAAATCCGCTGAGCTCCACTTGCGGAGCCGCCCGAGTCAAGTTCAGGGCGCAAGGGCGGGGTCAGGTGCGCCGGGTGGGCGGGGCTTCTCCCTGGACCGCTGCCACACGAACCAGGTGAGAGTGTTTGGCCGGGCGCGCCACCTGCAGAGCCCGGGCCTCGTCAGCGCGGCGCCGCTGCCTCCTGCAGGCCGGCCGGCTCTCCTGCGGGCCCAGCGCCTCCCAACGCGGGCGGGTGTGGCGGCGGCGAGCAGAAGGTGCGCAGGGAGCGGGTCTGCTCCAAGCTTCCTCCGTCCCCTTCCCCTCCCTCCCCTTCTTCCCACAGTAACGCGGGGGCATGGTGCACGCATTACAATCATCTTGTGAGCCAACCGTGGGGTGAGTCAGACCCACCCCTGCCTGTCAGGAACTCCGGGACACTTTTTGGGGACAACGACAAGGAAGCAGCCTGTTATGATTCAAGGTGATGTGTGTGGGACGTGGGTTGGCCCTGGGGCTGCCAGCGCCCTGGAGCGGGGACTTTGTGTTGGGCTTTGAACGATAAGGGTTCACAAGACAGAGAACTGGAGAGGGTATTGATGGAGAGGGAAATGCAGGTGCCAAGACCTGTGCCAAAGAAGCCATCCTCTAAAAAAGCTGGGTGTGGGGGCATGGAGCACAGGCCTCCCCTTTCCCGCCTTCTCAAGGTGTCCTCTCTCTCTCCTCCCCTGCCCTTGGCACCAGGAGGGTGTGCCCTCTGTCCCTCCGCACAGCAGCTCAGCCTCTGTGCCCAGCAGCCTGGGTAGCCACTTGAGACATGCTGAGACAGGCTCTGACCTGGGACTGCCCTGCCTAACTTCCCTTTGATCCCTGGAAATTCATAGTCTGGGGTATTCTCCACACAGTCCCTCAACCCAGGACAAGAGGCAATCCTGGTGTGAGCCTGGGAAGTGGCCACTGCAAGAGGCATCCAGTGCGCAGCTGCCTGTCTCCAGATCAGCTGTGAGAAAGTGAGTGGAATTAAAGGCTTACTCTCGACCCAACAGGAGACCCTCAGAACTCAGCATGGGCCCAACACCCCAGCCTTAGTGCCTCTCACACAGGTCACCTGGCCCAGGGGGGGCCTGGTAGGTTTCACTGTTGTCACTTAGCCCGGCTTGCCCCCCTCCAGGGATAGAGAGGATGGCTCACTCTCTTTCTGGCAGGAAGAATCTTCTGAGGTCATCCTGTCAGCTGCTGATTCACAGAAGGGGAAACTGAGGCCCAGAGATGAAGAAAGATGCACCCACAGCAAAGGCAGGGACCCGAGTCCCTGAGCTTTGATGCACAGAGTCCCCAACATCAACTCATTTGTCCTCATGGTACGCTGGCGGACAACTGCCCTGCTCGACCTGGCACCTGGCTCCCAGGCCTGTGTCCTAGGATACCAGAGTGCACAGAATATGACCTTAGACACTGTCGAGGACACAGCCTTCTCTGAGAACAGTGATGAGTCAAGGACACGCTGGGGGAAGCAGGGTGTAGGACCAGTGCTCCTGCCATGGAACTCCCGGTCTTCTCACACCAGAGAGGACAAACCTGGTTTTTGTGAGGACGAACGTGAACCCTGTTATGAGGCCTCATCTGACGGGTAGACCACTGAGTTGATGTCCACCCACAGCAATGCTATACTACAGAGACGCACAGCCCACAGGATTTCCAAAGGGCTAAATATTTATGCACGCCGACTGCCACATCTTTCTTCCGAGGAGCAGCTGGTGTGTTCCGATTGCCAAGCTTTTGATTTGCAGCCAAATAGTTCACCACTGAGTCACCAGAGATCGCTCTAGAAACAAAGCCAAGCCCACTGCCCTCCTGTCAACGGTGGATCGTGGAGGTCCCACGTGACCGAGCGGAGCTGGCCCAGAGCTCCCACCTCACATATTTACTAAACCACCTCTTCCATCTTTCTCCTGCAGAGCAGCTGCGGGGCTTGACCCACAGACCTTGTGGTCAGCAGTCAAATGCTTACCCGCCGAGCCACTAGGATGTCTCCATCCTGCCGGAGAGCCTAGAAATGGAAGGAAAAATGAGTTTGTTTTGTGGTGCCCTGAATTCTGGAACAGGATCCTAAAACAGAGAGGGGGGAACCCTAAAACTCAGACAAAAATTAAGTTTCTTAATTCTTCAGAGTATATCAAGATTGGTTTAATAAATTATAACAGACCATTGTGCCTCACAACACGTTTAAGAATCACAGCAGTATTAAACATGTTTTCATTACTTGCTTTTCATGGTGACCTGTATGTAACAGAACAAAAGAATACCAGTTCAAACAACAACAACAAAAAAAAACCCCACCAGACCATTCTGATGTGTTAATAATAAGGGGGCCTGAGTGTAGAATATAAGGGAACTTTGTGTACTATTTTCAGAATATTTCTCCAACTCTAAAGTTGTTTATTTTTTTAAGGGAGGGGGAAGAAAGAGAGAGAGAGAGAGAGTGTGTGTGTGTGTGTGTGTGTAATAGGAAATCCTGAGGAAGAGAAACAAAGTGACCCTGATGTAACCAGCCTCTCTTGACCCCTCCTCAAATCCCCACACCCTGTCCCCTGTGTTGGGTAGCAGCTTTGGGGCACTGCAGACTCAGAAGAGACCCATACTGATCCTTGGGTCAGAGTGTTTAGCTGTCCGCAGTTCTGAGAGGAGCTGGGAGCCCCTACACCCAGAAGTCGTAACAGAGAAGATCAGTGCCCCACAGAAATCCCTTGTATGCCCCACATTTGCAGAAAACAGGCCAGAATGCATTCCAGCCTGCCCCTCCCGGCCCTCCCCGAAATCCGCCAAGTCACGGTGCTTGATCCAGCGTCAGCAAACATGGGAGGGACGTCCACCCCACGTAAGAAGGGCAACTGACCCAAAACTTGACACTTGAGAAAACAGCAATTGGAGGACACAGAACTGGCTTTAGGAATGAGAATGGTATCATCCAGGAGATAGGGAAAGCTATTCCACCCACTAAAGCAAGAAGAATGAGCTACAAGTGGACATTTTTTAAAAAATGTATGAAAAAGGAACACCAAAACCCTTTACTGAAATTAAGTGTATTAAAGAGACATGGAAGGACTGTGTCTGAGCCCCAAACACAGACTAACGCAAGGAGAGACAGTAAAAGAAAGACAGGTACAGTCATCCCTACCCGCCCTACTCATAAAAATCATGTCTCATTTGAATTATGACTTAATTATATGTAATTATGGTTAGCACAGTCTGAAATAAATCATTACAACACATATTTATTTGCATGTTTGATACCTATTCCTACCATTAGAATGTCTTGTTTACTTGTGTGTGTTTGTGGCTGGTTTTCTTAACAACTGCAACAATTCCTGGCTCATAAAATGTCCTTCATAACTATTTTCTCAATGAATGAATGAATCATATTAAACGCGTTATGAATGATGGTTTCTCATGATAGATGTGAGACTTCAGACTGTAAAAGTCAAGGGTGCGAACAAGATTACAACTTAGTGCAACCACTATGGGAACCTCTGTAGCAATAAAGCTATGAAGCTTCTGTTTCATGATCCAGCAACCTGTGCATCCGTATCTAAGAGAAAGTGGAGCTACAGAAAAGCTATTTTATAGCTATTTATAGGAGCTTGGTTTCAAAGAGTCCAAACCTGGTAACAGCATTGCTCTCCAATGACAAGAGAATGGATCTGTAGACTCTGGCACTGCCATACACCCAAACACTGTGAACTATTTCACAGAGAGAGAGAGAGAGAGACAGAGAGAGACAGAGAGAGAGACAGAAAGAGAGACAGAGACAGAGACAGAGAGAGAGACACACAGAGAGAGAGAGACAGAGACAGAGAGAGAGAGAGACAGAGACAGAGACAGAGAGAGACAGAGAGAGAGACAGAGAGAGAGAGACAGAGAGGAATCAGACTCAGAGGGACAACGTGTGTTGTTAAAACGAGTCTCACACTCAGATTGACGGACATATTCACCACAATTCCAATCATAATTTTAGCAAGTTCTTTCATGTCGTGGATGGTGATGAATTGATTGTAAAATGTATCTAGAGATGCAGGAGACCTGGAGGCCCCGGCAGTTCTGGAGACGAGCAAAGATGGAGGACGCACACTCAAGCAGAAGACATCACTGTGTCGTCAACAACACATGGGGACTCTGGGCTCCAGACCTCTGGAAGCCATCAAACTGGTTGACCCTCTGCAACCACCGCCCTGTGAACATTTCCAAGCCTGGAGCCAACAACATTCCCTAAAGTCTTCTTTAAACTGTAGTTTAGTTTCACTTGTAAATGCTGTCTGTGAACACTGCCTGCATTGAGGACTGTCCTCTTTCAAGGTCTGTCTGTGTGAGATCAGACAGACAATGAGAATGCAACAGATTCAATAGGACACTTAGGGCCAGGGAGTTTATGTAAATGGTAATCATGAAAAGGGGGAGAGAAAGGCTGTTCAATTCCAGAAATATATTCAATACCACAGCATTGCTGTATATTTGGCTGGGTAAAATAAACAAGATAAATGAAAAATCCATTATTGTTATGTGCCTTCGAATCACCTGTGACCCATAGCGACCCTATGTACAGCAGCTCTGAGCCCTGCCCTGTCCTGAGCCAGTCTCACTAATATTCTGACACACCAACCCCCATTGCCCCAGTTACTGTATCAATCCATCTCATCTGGGGTCTCCCTCTCCTGCGCTGTCCCTCCACCCTTCCAAGCATGATGTTCTCCAAGGATCAGTCTTCCTGGCCACATGCCCAAAGTATGTAATCCTAGCCTCCAAGGAGAAAGTTGGTTTCATTGATTTCAAAACAAAGCTTTTTGTTTTCTTGGCAGTCCATGGTATGTTCAAGACTTCTCCAGCCCTACAACTCGCAGACATCGATTCTTCTTCTGTCATCCTTAGTTGCTGCCCAGCTCTCTGATAGCAAGTAATTGAGAAGACACACGGCCTGGATTAGGCACATCTTAGTCTCTAGACTGACATCGTTGTCCGT